TCATACTAAAAAGTTGAAGAAAAAAAATAATGAATATGAATCGTAAAAATAGTGAGATGACAAAATGAAATAATTTATAAACTATAGTTATCAACATAAAAATTGTAATTAAAAAACTGTAATAATAATAATAATAATAATAATAATATATTTTTTTAGAGTGATTTGTCAGAAAGTAGAAAGAATTTGAAGAAAATAAATATAGTTGGAAGAAATTAGAAGAAAAAAACTAGAAGAAATTGGAAGAAACTGGAAGCAACTGGAAGAAACTGGGAAAACTGGAAGAAACTGGAAAAAACTAGAAGAACTGGAAGAAACTAGAAGGAACTGGAAGGAACTGGAAGAAACTTGAAAAAACTGGAAGAACTGAAAGAAACTGGAAGGAACTGGAAGAAACTGGAAAGATCTGGAAGGACTGGAAAAAACTAGAAGTTAAGAGTTTAAGTCCAAAAGAACAGACCCTAAGTGTCTGATTGCCTTAACCGACTACAGTTAAGTGTCTGAAATCATTTTCCTTAAACTAATGATAGTTTAAGTGTCTGATTAATAATTGTCTTTTAAGAATCTGGTTATGGAAATTATGATTTGGCCTTAGACTAAGAATAACTAAGAGCATTGTTATTATCTGGCCTTAGACTAAGAATAGATAAGAGCATTGTTATGATATGGCCTTAGACTAAGAATTTTAATGATCCCTTGACCGTAAAATACCCCCCTTCAACCTTCATTCACCACCCTCAACACTTAGAAAATTTCTACAAAGTTCGTGCTTCATCTTCTTCAAGGTTTCTTCACCATTAATGGAGTTCTAGGAAAGAAACTCTAGGTAAGTGAGTATATTCCATCCCTGCCATTATTATACTCATTTCCATGCTCTCCTCACGCCATTTGTCTCTGCGCTAGCAACATTCAAAGAGAAGACCTCAACATAATAAAACCTAAAAGTAGATAGTGACATCCGTTTGTTGGCCATGCATTAAGGTGTTAGGATCATTATGTTTCCTCTACGAACATAAGCTCTGTACCCTAGAATTATGTCTGATGTATATTTTAAAAAATCATTTGTATATATATATATATATATATATATATATATATATATATATATATATATATATATATATATATAGCCTCATAGGTATTATTGTTATTGCCGTAATACCAAAAAATACCATACAAAAACCTTGCATGAACCTTACGTTAAAACTATTATGTTTGTATGTTATATCACCTTATAATTATCCCATGTTGATAAAAATGGGGGAAAATATATTTAAAATGAGTAGAAATAGACTTTGGAACTTGCATCCTAAAAATGCAGTGGACCACTAGGCTTGACCTGGTCGACCACCCAGTGGAACGGTTCGCCTGGTGGATCGCCTGAAAGAAGAGGCCGTGAATGCAATTCCGACGGTTGACCGTTTGCCAAAATGGTCCAACACCGTCAACCGTCCATGCTGTTCATGCCGAAGGCTTATTCCACCATGATCCAATGGTCCACCATGAACCTAAATGGTCCTCCACCTTGACCGTTTGTAATGTTCATGGTGAAGGAGAAAAATCAAGTACGACCAAATGGTCATCCGTGCTTACAAACGGTCGACTATCACAGATTTCCAGAGATGACGATGAAACGGTGGACTATGACCACAAACAGTCGACTGTCTCGATCCTCGAATCTCCGCAACTGAAATTCATTATGTCAATTCATATTTACTAAATATTGTTGTTAAAATGATATTATTGGATGGTTAAAGCTAAATAACGTTTAGTATTAGATTATATGGACTTTATGTTAAAACTTTATGTATGCTTCAAACTAGACTTTAAATTTGCGACAAAACCGTATTTTCCGTTGCAGATCTGCGATGGAATAACTAAGTCCGTAACAGATAATTTTCTTTTTTCATTGAGTATTCGTCCGTCGCAGATCCGTTGCAGATCTGCTACGAAAATAGGTCCGTAGCAGATTTCCGTTGCAGACCAGACAAATTCTTGTAGTGATCATTATGATGGATGTAATAATAACCAAAAAGATATTTTTGGATGGTTTATTCTAGATTATTTTTAGTAATAGATAGTATGGATTTGAATGTATAGATGCGAGCGATGTTAGGAGTTCAGTATGTACGTACATTAGGTCGAGACTGGTCAGGCGACTAGGGATCAACTCGTGCGTCTGAAATAGGAAGAGTATTTATACCTATGCTTGGAAAGGCCATGGAACAAATTCTGAATCTGAAGAGCCTGGACACTCGGACTCACACTCAGATAGCGGAAGTCTTATTGAGTCTATCTCTACGGAAAATGACTCAATATGGCATTAGGATAAAACATAAATGGTGAAAATTAAGGGATGATACTATTACTGTATCAGGATTTGTTAAATTGGGAATGTTGATTTACTTGATGGTATGGTTTAGCCTTTCTCAGAGATGCTCATATAACAAAGTGAAGAAACATTATCGAATGATAATGACTTATTGAATCCATATAAAAGGATATTTGACAATGATAACCTTGACTTTTATTATATACTTTTGAAAACATATGAATATACAAATAGATGCTTTTACACTTTATCATAACTGAGATATGTTGGAATTTATAATTAAAGGTTTTATTAAGAAGACAAAATTAATTTTTCTTAAATAAATGGTCTTAGAGGTATTAATGATTGTTATAGGTGTAATAATGTGTTCATGAATTATTCTTTGAAATATGCGTTGTGGTACAGTTCAGTGGTTTCGCTAAGCATGCAGTTCCTTTGTTGTGTGATTGTGTGTATGTAATCAGAACTATGACGTCAAATTCAGAGGATGCTCAGTAGGGAGAGTAAGCAGAAGATGTGGGGCTATTTTACTTATATTTTAGCTTCAACAATGTTTAAATTAAATTACTCCAAAAATCATTTTATCATGTTTGAGAAAATCATGTTTTAAATATTTTTAAATTACTTCCCAATTTACCTTTTTAAGTTATGAGATGTCACTTTACCAAATTGCTATCCCTTCAATTTGCTAATCCACATGAGCCGGGTCATGCTAGTCGGGGTGTTACATAGAGATTGGGTTAGTCAGATAAGAAAAGTGGCCCAGTATTCTATTTGGAACACCAATCTGATTTAGACCCGACTAGATAGTAAAGTTTGGCCCGGGTACTGATTGGGTAGACAGTGGCGTGGATAATCGAATTAGGCCTAGGCCTGGATCAATTAATGAGTGGAGCGACTAATCCCACTAATCGTGGGTAATTGATGACTAATTCTCCACTGACAATTGATGCACATCAGAGCAATGATGGAAAGAAACCATGTACGTCATAATATGTAAATTATATATAGGAGGAAAACTTCCATTCTAACCCAAACAAAATCAAGCTAATCAAGGTGATATTAAGATCCTATTTTTTTGATAGTTTGTTATTATTCTTATTTTCGTTCTTCGTGCTTCTATAATTGGTGGGCTTGAATCCATCCGGTATACTAATTATTAATAGAGCTAACTTTTGAGGCATGGTAGTCTAAACACAGTCTGAAGACTCTCTTTTCCAAACCTTACCATTGGAGTGGGTAAAAAATGGGAAGAGTCTGAAAGTGAGTTTTTGAATTTCCATACTCACTCTTAAGACTCTCAACTCAATTCATCCAATAAAAATTAGTCACGTGTAATTAACAATAATTTTTTCAAAAAAAAAAGTTACAAGTATTTTGTAATAAAAAATAATCAATATATTCCAATTGAAAAAAACTCAATCGTTAATTATGTCTACTTATTCAATTTTATATTGTTATGATTTTATTCTTTTTTTGTAATATTTATTTTATTTTATAGGATCAAAATACATTTTTAGTACAATTTGATGTGTAATATTTTAATGTTTTTGGGAACAAAACACAGAAATACTTGTAGGAGCAGAAATTCTTCTTTTTCTTCCTATTAAACATGCCATTTTATATTTCAATTATGTTTACTTATGTACTCTTTAATTTTAATTTTAATTTATTGTGTTTCCAATTTTATTTTATGCAATTTATATTTAATGTGTGTTTAATTGAATGGTTCTAATGAAATGCATTTATTTTATTTTGTGTGTGTTAATTTTGAATAGTTTTCTCTATAATTTATGTTGTTAACTTTTTAATGGTTAATTATATTTATAAATAAATTTGGTAGAAAAGATAGTGTATAATATAATTAAATATTAGATAACTAATTAAATAAAAATAAAAGTTAATAAAAAACAAAGCCTAAAATAGTTTGAGCATTGAGATAGTTTCTCTAAAAGTTGACAGAGATTCTAAAATGCTTCATCCGTTCCAAAAACTCCTCTTTTTTTTCTTGTCCCACAAAGTCATTCGTCTTTCAATTAAAAAACTATTTTAACCCTATTAATTCTCAACCTACCTATCACATTAAACATTTTACTAATAATCAACTCATCAAATCTTACTTTTGTCCATCACATCAAAAATATTTTTTGAAAAAATCAATACAAAAATATTTCTTCCTTAAATTTTCTAAAAATCAAAATAACAGAGGAAAATAGGAAATACCAAAATGTTTACTTGACCCATTCCATAAGAGAAAAGTGAACAATTTACTTCTAAATTTTTCAAAAATTGCACAGTTTTACCTATGGACATTAAAAAATGCATCAAATACCCCTTAATTCTTAAGAAATTATACGGTTTACCTCTCGACATTAAAAAGTGTAGCAAATTAAATACGTCTAAACACTTCAGAAATTGCACGATTTACTCCCAAACATTAATAAAAATGATAATTTTGAGGAAGGATATTTTGAAAAATTCACAATGGCAAGATAAATCATACTCGCTTTGCCATGTGTGGGAACAACACACTCCCTATTTAGCATTTTAGGACTGGTGGTACAACATTCTAAGGGGCTGTTTGGCAACTTCTGAATATGTAAGTGCTGAAGCAGTAAGAGGTCTGAACCATTAAGTGCTGAACAGTAAGAGGTCTGAACCATTAAGAGCTAGTATATTGCTTAACTATTCAGAGGCAAATGTCTGATCAATTCAGATAAGAGGTCTTAACCATTCAGACTCTGTATAATACTTAACCATTCAGAGGCAAATCTCTTAACCATTCAGACATCTGAACCATTAAGAGGCTGAAACAAACAGTCTGAACCATTAAGTGCTGAACCATTCAGACATCTGAACCATTAAGAGGCTGANTTAAGAGCTAGTATATTGCTTAACTATTCAGAGGCAAATGTCTGATCAATTCAGATAAGAGGTCTTAACCATTCAGACTCTGTATAATACTTAACCATTCAGAGGCAAATCTCTTAACCATTCAGACATCTGAACCATTAAGAGGCTGAAACAAACAGTCTGAACCATTAAGTGCTGAACCATTCAGACATCTGAACCATTAAGAGGCTGAAACAAACAGCCCCTAAATTATTCAGAGATATTTGATATACTTTTTAATATTTAGGGGTAAATTATGCAATTTTTAAAAAGTTTGAGATTACAATACACTTTTTAATGTTCAGAGTAAGCCATACAATTTAAAAAAAGTTTCTGTTAAAAGATCACTTACACTATGTTTGATTCAAGAAATTTGGAAAGAAAAAAAATAACATTTTCTCATTTTTTTTTTCTTCTCTTAGTACGACATTCTCATTTTTTTTTCTTCCAAATTTCCTTTTTTACGAAAGAAGAGTTTAATTTTTTCTCCTTGAAACAACCATAGGTGCCCAACAGAAGCACCTCCCCGGCTCCCCGTAGATCCGAAATTACATTGGATGTGATTTTTTGACCTTCAGTGTGTGTCGATGGCGGTGGCTATCATCTTCAACTGTTATTGAAGTGCCCCTTTAATTTCTAGCAGAGAAGGCCCCTGTGGTTTTTGGGGAAGGGACTAAGGGAGTTACTTTTACCGTTTTCATTTAGTAAGAAAGGGGATGAAGGTGTTTGTTGGGAGTCCGGGTAGCGTGAGTGGGACGCTATTGAGGATTGGGCAATGCTTGTTTGCAGCTGGCTCTATTGCGGCCATGGTTACCGCCTTTGGGTTTTCCAACTTCACTGCTTTCTGGTATGCTTTTCTTGTTCAACTGTTCAAAAATCTCCTTCTTTTTGGTCGATTATAACCTCTCTATCCTTTTCATTCCAAAGTAAACAGACCAGTTTCACAGAAATGGAGATTAGTTCATGTATGTTAGTACTAGATTGTAGAGCAGGTTCAACCAAAGATTAATGTTGCATTATGGAAAAACAACCTAGGTTAGAAAATTGCCTTAAGAATTTGATTATATAATATTAGCTTTATGGTGAATTTCTATTTAATTTTTGATGGTTTGTGGTGAATTAAATTTTAAAAAATATACACTCAGGGGTATAAGACATTCAGCCCGATTGACCCTGGTTTTGGTGTAACGAAAACGGAGTGAATCTTGGTAAATCAAGTTGAATGTTTCACCCCACCTAACTTAAATTAAGAGATGGTCGTTAGGAGGAGTCAGGAGTGTTAAGTCTGAGGTCTCAAGATCGATTTCTAGTAGCGACAATGCGAGATTTTTATCTCGCATTATTTACCATGATAACTCCTTTGGGACAGCCTCTCAAAAGACCAGACTAAGATTATACCATGATTTGCCCCATCACTACTCTCTTGGGCCAGGTGGCTGTTCCACCTTTTTTAGAGAGTAAATTCTTGAAATAGTTCTTTATAACATGGGGTTTTCCATATATAGTCCTCAAAAAGAGTACACAAACAGAGTGAATCTTCTCCATTGGATCCACTTCAATCCAAATGAATGATATCAAATGTATACTGTCCCGGTTACCCCTGAATCCTGATCACTCAGACTGTCCTTTCTAAAGATGAGTTTTCTTTGTTTGATAAGTTCGTAAGCCGGTAAGGAAATGGCTTCTTCCTGTATTTCTCTATACAGGATGGATGGGGTGCAAGGAGTTGTAAGAAACATAAGGGCAGGGAAGGGTGGATAGTAACCTGTTTGGGAGAGACAAAAGAGTATAATAGTGAAGGAAGTTTTAAGGAGTTTAAGTATTCCCATTCATTAAAGCTCATGTCTATTGATTTGCTTATTATCAGAGGTGGACGAAGGTGTGGTGAGATTACATATGTTAAAAAAAGTAGCATAGTATGATTATATCTCCAACTCTCTATCCCCACTCAAATCACATCATCCACTAATTACTGACCATTTCTAACCTAGATTGAGCGAGTGATGAATGTATACTATTCCCTCCATCCCACCATTTTTATGTGTCCAAATATTTTAACCCACGGCATATTTAGTAAAATTTCTGTGGCTCACATGCATTCATATTTTTTCTTAATTTTAATATCAAGGGTCCGTTTGGAAAGGGAGAAAATGACTTTAGGAAAATGATTTCTGGAAAATGACTTATTTTCCTGGAGTTATTTTCCTTTTTCCTGTTTGGGTTAAAGTATTGAAATTGTACATATTCTGTTTGGATAAAATGAAGAAAAGGAATATTGGAAAATAGGAACACGCTCCAAATCCCCAATCTTTAAGCCCAAAATGCTTCAATATCACTCACTATTCATCGATGCCATAATTGGCGATATCCCTGTGCATTGCTTGTGCAAACCAAAGAGGAAATCGATTCTCATCGCATGTGCAGGGGGCAATGAGGAAATCTGGATTCCAAAATTCCCGAATTTTTCCTTGAGAAATTAAAAGATGAAGAAAGAGGGGGAAGGAGGGTTAGCGGGCAGCTGCGAAGAGAGGGAGAACAGGCAAAGAAAGGAGGAAGAAAGAAAAACGAAGGATGGGAGGAAGAGAAGAAAGAAAGGAGGTGAGGAACAGAGAAGAAGAAGAGGCTGCGAAGAGTGGAAATTGTCTTCCGGATTTTTTTCTTCTTAAGTCAGATTCCGGATAAGTGCCTTCATTTTCCGCTTGACCAAGGGCTATTTTCCATTTCCCTGCCAAACACCAAAAACAGGGAAAGTCACTTCCACAAGTCATTTTCCCTCATTCCAAACGGACTCCAATATCAACCATATAATTTCACTTTTCTTAGTTTTCATTCCACTAACCATTTCCCAAAATATAGCGGGATGGTGGGCAACCAGGAGTACTCTACTGCCTTTGACTTGATCTTCTCAAGAGCGGACACATTTCATTCATCAATGGTGATCATTTGCTGCCACTAGACTGTATTTTCTTAGCGCTGAACAACTAGGTCCTTCATGAATACTCAAATGACAATTTGTGGGGATAGAATGTAAATGTATGAAGTCACCTTCTCTCACTGAAGATGGACCTTAGATGGTATGCTGTGGAACTGGAAATGACAGAATTAAAGTTCTCAATCTGCATAGAGTGGGGAGGGATTGGCATCTTAAACACTGTAAATTTTTTATATGAACCAATAGTTTTTCAGGGAAACCATAATCCACAAGGACTGTTTAAGATCATAGTAACAGGCAGGGGTGGAGTCACGATTGGTGAATGAGTACGGTAAATAATGACATTTAGAGTGAACATGCCTCTCAATGGTGATAGCCGATAACCATTTTGTGCCATTGGTGATCTGGGCCTCCCCTTGCCATGAAAAATGTCCATGGCGATGGTTTGACTCATTGTGTTTCCATGTCTTGCCATTTGTTTACAGCCTAGTCAATTTTATTTGAAAGCCCAATCTTAAAAAACATAGGCTGTAAAAGCCATATGGCCCTAACACTCTTAGAGACCCGCAATTTCATACAACCTTTGCTCTTCAAACCTCCCCACATGACATCATGTAGGCACCAGAGCGACTTGCAACCTGAGGTGAACGGCTTTGAATCAATCTCTTTCAGAGTTCTAGGCAACCTCCTCTTGGCAACCACCCCAAGCAAAGAGTCGGTCTCTTTCCGATGCACCTTAGCCACACTAGATTTCCCCCCTTTTATACATTTTAAACTTATGAAATTCAACAAAGGCCGAAATGGAGAGACTTGCCCGTGTATTGTATACTAGTTACTGGTTGTAACACATAATTTCACATGTTTAAAATACAGTGAATCAGCGGCATTCCAATGACTTTAAAAGAGTTTTCTAAGCACCTGCCTTAATTGAAGCCTTGAAGATATAAAAAAAGAGTTGAGAATGGGAAACAATGTATACAATCTTTTTAACCATAAATGTAATACTTTGGTTAAATATTAGAAGTAAACATTTATTATAAATATGAAAAGTGGCTGTACATTTTAGAACATTGATCAACAAATAATGGGCTCATTTAGTCATTTTGTGTATGCAGACTTTACATATTAGAATTCAAAATTGGGTTAGAGCCGGGGTAGAGACATGGGTAGGGAGGCCCACCAAAGGACAATGGTAGTGGTACATGCCATATAAGTTTGCCCAATTTGATGCAGTTCGAACTGGTTTTCCCTTCATCTGTTTTCTTATAGTAAGATGAAATGATGGAGCCACATATTTTGGGATTGGGACAAAGTATTTGGGGCATGTAGCATTGTAACCTTTTCTTGGCAACAACGTGACAAAATGGGTAGATTCATATCTTGTAGAGTTTATGTGTTTAGTAAGTCTCCAAAGGGATGAGATGCTCCATCATTAAAGAAAAAGTTAAGCATGTAGACTTCCCTTTTAAACATGGTGAGACTTGCTGCATGCATTATAAGAGAGCTAGTCCTCACTTTCAAAAACATGATATTTGATTTTGGAAATCTGGCAAGCTGTGTGTAAGTGGGCGAATGGTGCTGAGTGTGCTCCAAAGTCCAAACAAAAGAATAGTACTCTCTCCGTTCCATATTAGTGTTACACTGTCAAACTACACCTTTTCCTTACATACTTATATTGATCATTTGATAGAATAAAATAATCTAAGTGACATCTTCTTTTGTAGAACTTTTGATGTAGTTTTTTAAAAACATAAAATTTCTTTTTTATTCTACACCAATTTTTAAATAAATTGAATTGAGAATAGCTTCAGTTAAACATCACAAACCGTATGAGGAGCACTATATAGGAATGAGAGGGAGTATATATTTGGAATCTCATTTCCCCAAATGTTGTCCTTCACATTTATTATCATTATTATTAGAGCACATGTAAGATGTTGACATTGTGAGGTGATTCTACAAGGAGAATGTACGATCAGATTTTGAATCAGAGTTTACATTCTCTTTGTTTGTTCAGAAGATTATATGATCATTTACGCTTCTTGAAATGCTTCTTTAATTTCTAGTGGCGAAAGCCCCTGTGTCTTTAAGGGGCTAAGAGAGTTACTTTTACTTTTCCTTCTAGGAAGAGGATGATGAAGAAGAATGAGGACGGAGGTGTGTGTGGAATTTGTGGGGAGTGGGAGGTGTGAGTGAGCTGCTAATTGGGAAATGCTTGTTCACAGTTGTCTCTATTGGGGCCATGGCTTTCGCTAATGGATTTTCCAACTTCACCACTTTCTGGTAGGCTTTGTTTTATGTTTGACTGATCAAACATCCCTTTTTTTGGTCGATGAAAACCTATCTCTCTCTATTCTTTTCATTCCAAAGTGAACCAGCCTAGATTCACGGGAACACAACAAAAACAACAACAAACCCAGTAAAATCCCAAGAAAGTGGGGTCTGGGGAGGGTGTGAGTGCACAGACCTTACCCCTACTAGCCACTTGACATTAGAGATAGATGTTTCCAAGAGAACCCAGGTTCCCAGGAATACGCGACATTATTGATATTGTAGGACTCCCTTTGTCCAAAATAGAGTTTCACTTACGGTTTATGATTGAAGTTATTCTCATTTCTATCTATTTGAAAATTGGAGTGTACTTTTTAAATAAAATGTATATATTTGAAAATCCCATTAAGAGGAGGCTTGACTATTTTTTTTAATCAAATGATCAATGAAATATACAAGGAAAGAAGATATGGTTTGACCATGTGATTAGTAAAGCGGAACATTATTTTTTGACGGACGGAGTATAATTTAGCATTAATCAAACATGTGTGACTATTGTTCAATCACTCAAAAGCTTAATTTAGTAAGATGTGAGAAGTGTGAAGAAAGAGGGAGCGGATATGACTGCAAATGAGAGGAACTAAGGGTAGTTCATTCATTCTTAATAGTCAATATATAAATTGGCCCGTAATGTCTTTCTCTGTAGGACAAATTCACTCAATATCATTTTTGTCAATATGAATTATTTTTCCCTGGTGCCTTCATTATTCTTATGGTAAAGGGCTATACAGAACCTATTGAGACTTTGAACAGTCTTATCTCTTGCCTGCTTCCATGATTGTATTTTACTATAATTCCATATAAAAATTTCACGAGGTCAGTGGCTCAGTAAACTCTATTGATTAGTCAATGATCTCTCTCCTTGCGGCAGTACATTTTGCTAAGGCCTCCAAGCCTTAAGAGTGCAAAGATCAACCAATATTTGTAGCTTGCATTATGAAATTGTGTCCGTAAATAATCAATCCGGTATACCTCTTCATGTGTTATATGCCACTTCCTCCCGGTGAAATAGGAAGAAAAAAACTATTATTGTGCACATAGGATCTCTTCACATATTCAATAGGTTCTTTTATTTACTCTCCTTATCTGCCATCCGTTTTTGCTCAAGGTAACTAAAATATATTGTCTATTTTTCAGCTATTTGATCGCATCGATGGGTCTTCAAGTGCTGTGGAGCTTTGGACTTGCATGTCTTGACATATATGCTTTGAAGACAAAGAGAGACATCTGTAGTCCAGTCTTGGTCAGCCTCTTTGTTGTGGGGGATTGGGTATGTATCAATTGGTTCTTGACATCAAATTAGCTTGACCATTGCTAGCTAAATAAAGAGTTGTTCTAGGGTAACCCCATAATTTTGACACCACCACTAACCCCATGCTTTGCACAAACAATATCTGTCTTATCGCCTGTGCGGGGTCAATGGTGGTGTCAAAATTGTGGGGTTACCCTAACGTTCCTTTGGCTAAAAAAACCCCATATTGAGTGAGTGTGTTGTTGATTTGGGTCTGTCCAGGTGACATCAACATTATCACTTGCAGCTGCTTGTTCCTCGTCGGGGATAGTGGTTTTATACTCGAGAGATTTGAAGTTCTGCAACGATCCATCCCAACTCCCGTGTGTCAGATATGAGCTCGCAGCTGTCTTGGCATTCATAGCCTGGTTTCTCATCGCCATTTCTTCCCATATAATGTTCTGGATATTAGCCTCCGTTTAATTCGTTTTTCTATTCAAGTTCACTATTCTGATCACGAGAAATCATCTGCTTTCTCTCAATCTTCAACTTACTCTTGGGATGGCGATGACTTCTCTCCTGCGGGTGACCAACTAACTGCATAGATTGTATTTTAAAATTTTAGATTAATATTTAAATGAATTGAATTCAAAATAGTTTTAAAAATTAGACCAATAAAAGCAAGAGTAACTTAAAATGGACATAATAAAAGTAAGAGTAAGTAGGGACATATACATAGAGTAAATCGAAATATGTTTTTTAGTTTACTATAATCTTATATGCTACATCTGCCCGTAGATCGTTGTGGACCTTAAGTTCACCTAAAATCTCCTTTTAGAAACATTTCCCATACAAAGTACTTCCTCCGTCCCCAATTTAATTTTAATTTTTTTCTGTCTTCTCTCGATAAAATAAAATATTCTTGTTATCTCTTGATTTGTAAAACTTTTGACTAGTTTTTTACTTCCTCCGTCCCATTTTATAACGCTTGTTTTGGTTTACGATGTTTGACTGAAATTATTTTCAAACCATTTTATATGACAAATGGTATAGAATTAAAAAATAAAAATTACATATTAAAAAATTACATCAAAAGATCTACAAAACTAGTAGTGATAATAATATTTTATTTTATCAAATTGCTAACGAAAATAGAGAAAGAAAGTGAATGAAGTTTGACCATGTGAATAGTGAACAGGCTTTATAATTTGGGACGGAGGGAGTAATATGTAATTTTTTATTTTTTATCGACATATCAATTTATAAATAAAATGATTTTAAAAAGTGAGATATTTTTTTTCGTAAACCCCGATTTGTAATCAAATTGGGGACGGAAGGAGTATATGAAACATCTAATTTTTATTACGGAGCATAAACTATAAAAATGTTTTCAAAAAAAAAAATATATATAAAACAATAAATCTTCGCATGTAAAGGATAACAAGCCTCCTAATCTACTTCTTTTGTAACGTTATTAACTAAGATAAGAGTGTATAATCGAATAGACTAACACAAGTAAATATTTATACAATTTGGCAGCAGAAAGTTGAAATTAAAGTCGTGTGGTCCCTTTGGTTATCCACACCATTATTTATCTTACACCATAAGAAGAAGAATAATATAATACAAACAATATATAGCAAAAGAAGTATCTTAGCTTGTAATCAATCTTAGCTTATGAAATGGCCTCCATATATATATATATATAGTTGGGTACTTAGGCAACATCAAGTTCCGGAGTAATATAACAATTCTGGGTAAAACGTCACTTCACGTCCCCATATATCCACAGTTTAATTAATTACTTTCTGAAACCCAATAAGATTCGAAATTAGCTTTGGCACCCCCAACTCTGATATCACCATTTTCATCCTACAACCATCAAAGCATTTCATTTCGCGAAACCGTACGTGTCTGCGGCGAAGGGTATAATGGGCAAGTTTGAACCCCGGGGCGGGGGTGATGGGGGGGGGGACGGCGCGAGCTGTACCTCGGACGTCCGGAACCTGCCGGAATCGCCTGCGGGGAGCCTGGTGTAGGAATAGGAGGAGGAGGGGGATTCCAATTCATTGCCCATAATCATGCACCCAAATCCGCCACCTTGTCTCCTCCCATTATTCTTGTACTCCACAATTGCTCTATACACAAATGGAATGAGACCCTCCATTTTTTTTCCGATATACTTTCTTTAGACGCACGTACTGCATCCGCTAATAATGTAGATATATATATATATTTATAGATCAGATAATGTATGTGGAGTAGGTATTATTTGTATAGAATTAGAAGAAGAAGAAAGTTAGGTTAATTACTTGATAGTATCATATATATATATATTGGGAGGAAATGGCTAATAAGCTGGTACGTACGTATGGTAGTAGGGATTTTGAAGTTTAAATGAAAGGCAGTACGTTTCGTAGGTGCAATAATTATAAGGAGGCGGAGGAGGAGGAGGTGAAGTGGCGTATTTGGTTAATTCCTTTGCGTCCGTCTCTATCCATACGAAAACACTTTCTTAGCACTAAATTGAAGATAACATTTTAGTTTACGTTTCTTTTTTCTTCCATTTTTTTCTAAAATCTTTGTAATTTCACTTTTTTTGATATTGCAAACTTTAGCAAAAAATTATGAAAAAAAATATATCTAATTATAACATAAATTTAATACTCCATCCGTCCGGATTTCAAGTTCCCACTCTACGCTTTTTTCCGTCCGGATTTCAAGTTCCCACTCTACGCTTTCTAACCCACTTTTCCTAAAATACCCTTCCCCCTTCCTTCTTCTTCCTTTTTCTTTCTCCCTTCATTTTCAATTCCTAATCCCTTATCTCTTTTTCTTTCTTTTTTCTCGGATCTGCACTCTTCCATTGTCCACTGGTTTATTTCTTTCTCCTCCTCCTCTTCAATCCCAATTATTTCTCCTCTTCTTTTTGTTTTCTTCTTCTCAAAATCTCCTTAGATCTACTTCTTTTTTCTCTCTGTGGTCTCTTTAGATCTACTTCTTCTTTCTCTCTCTCGTCACCTTCTTCTTCTTCTTCTCCCTAGTCAAAATCTTCAATTCACAGTCTCCCCAGATCTACAAAGAACGGCAGGCCTGCGGCAGCGATGATCGGAGCAAGGGGCGGCGATTGGTGTTGGCGAAGGTAGTAGGAGAAAGGTGCGGTGTTGGGTGAGTGAAATTGTGGGTGAAGGGCAGGGCGGCAGGGGTGTTTTAGATCATTTACACACAAAGTCAATACCCAATAAAAATGACCAAAAGTCAAAATGGGTACTTGAAATCCGGACGGAGGGAGTATAATTTTATGGTATGTTTGGAAACGTGGATTTGGATTTCAAATCCGAATTTGGCTCAAATTCCATGTTTGGGAAACTTACAAATTTTGAATTTGAATTTGAATCAAATTCTTCTCATTCATAACAAAGCTTAATTTTAAATCCATGCCCCTCACCCTGTCATTTGAAATTCTAGATTTCAAATTTTGGAATTGAAATACATGAATTGAAATGAAATCCTAGTTGCCAAACACTACCTAAGTTAATTTTATGATATTGTTTTTATACATTAAATTTTTATAAGATTTATTTAATTTAAAATTATACTCCGTATATATTAATGGTTAATGTGTGTGACAATTTGACTAATAAAGTCAAACTGCATTTTTTAAAAAACTATCGAATTAATATTAAGAAAAATTATTCAAAATAATCCCAACTTTACCCGGCGCGGTCTTTCAAAAATAATTCCATCTTTTAGTTTAATGTATAATAATTTCAACTTTACTGAAATTTGCAAACTTTGGGTCGTCGTGAAGTTACTAACGGTAAGAAATAAAATAAAAATATATGGAGTGGTGAGTTTCAACATTTTACACACTATACAGAGCATTAATGTACTATTTTTTCTTATTTTTAGGAAAAATTATCTAGAATAATCCTAACTTTACAAGTCTTTTCAAAAAATAAGTAGTACATTAATACTTTGTATAGTGCATAAAATGTTAGAGCACTCCACTTGCTATATTTTTATTTTGTTTCTTTTCAATTTCAGTCTAATATTTATTGAGTACCTTATTTATTTCATTAATTGTGTACGGTTTTAGTTGTTTTTCTCAATTTTGATATTTTTATATTTATTTTTTTATAAGATAAGACTAATATTTAAAAAAGGAAAAAGAAATTGAAGTAGAAAGTCATTTTAAAAATTTAAATAAAAATTTCAAAAAAAATTAAAAACGAAAATTCATAAAAAATAATCTCAACTTTCATTTTGTTGCGCAAAACAGGAGGCTGTTCCGTTAATCCGTCGTTAACAACCCAACGACGGCCCAAAATTATAGTGAAAGGTAAGATTATTTTTGAAAGACAAGGTAAAGTCAGAATTATTTTAGATAACTTTTTTCTAATATTAAATCAAATCGGAGTATCAAGTCTCATAAATAAATGTTGGAGGGGCATGGACCAGCTCTAGACAATCAACCTCGAAATCAAATACTTGGAAGAACATGTGAGCCACTTGATTTCTCAATCTCCTTAACAACTGGTAACGTGAGAGAAACAAAATCTCGCATCATTGTTTTACAATCAGAAATGACTTCCAAAAAGTTAGAATGAGAATGATTGATAATGTCTTCTTGAATTACCCTGAACACGACCTCACTATCAATCTCAACTTCAAAAGCATTCTGTCTTGTTGTTCTCCTCAACCATTTCAAAGCCTCCTGTAACTAGCGCTCTGCAAGAACTAGTCTTGATCGAAATTTAGACCTAAATTGGAATGAACCGGTCCGGACCGGACCGAAGAGTTCAAGTCTCTGGACCGGAAATGTACAATTTAGACCTATCGTATTGCCTTGTTGATACATGTACAATTTAGATATGAATTTTTATACTCATATTGAAAATCAGGTCCATAATAGGGTAAACCCGGATCGGACCGGAAATTCATGTCCAGGTCGGTCAAGACATGTAAGTAACAAGTCCAATCTTCGGTCCTAAAACATTTATGACTCCGGTTCTAGTCCAATCTGATTCTGATCCAGTCCGGTTTTGGAGCGGTGCACACTCCTACATGCAACTTTGCTACTTATATTAGGCCATCTGTGTTATACTCCCTTGGGGCAGGCGGGGATGGGAAAGTTTCTATCGCACCGGGGCGAGAAGCAAAATATTGCCCCTCACCCCACCCATTGCCATCCTTAACCGCCCCTGAGCATGGTCAACACGGTTGACTCAATATGATGATTGCTATTCTGTGTTAAAAAGAATCAATTATCAAAAGGTAACTACATTGTAGAGTAAAAAAACTATAGGCTCAAGTTAGAAGTCACAACCACCAGAACATTATTAAGGTACATTCAAGTGTAACACATTGGTGTCGTTGACTAAGCAAAACAGTGAGAAAATGATGGTCCAATTTATGTGCCATGGAATGAAGCATCAATGCACATTTGAGCCCCACAAACGATTACTTCATTGCAACTCATATGAAGAGAAGCTGAACCCCGACCTCCCGTTGCTGGTGGTTTTCAGTTCCAATTTCTGGAAAGGGCTGCAAGAAATATTTCAATCAACCAATATCATTTTTTATGATTTCAGACACAATTTTAAGGCCATATGATTGTAAATTGCAGGTTGCCAAAAAAAATAAATGGATACTTGCTGTTGGGATCGTAACCAAACTATTATAAAACCATT